GTTATAGCTGTATTGTTGGGAACACGTTTGTCCCAGACCTATCAGCTCGTTATTGTGAACATGCTTGTTCTTAAGTTACAGCTGTATTGTTGGGAACACTTTTGTCCCAGAGCTATCTGGTTGTTATTGGAACATGCTTGTTCTTAAGTTATAGCTGTATTGTTGGGAACACGTTTGTCCCAGAGCTATCTGGTTGTTATTGGAACATGCTTGTTCTTAAGTTATAGCTGTATTGTTGGGAACACGTTTGTCCCAGAGCTATCTGGTTGTTATTGGAACATGCTTGTTCTTAAGTTATAGCTGTATTGTTGGGAACACGTTTGTCCCAGAGCTATCTGGTTGTTATTGGAACATGCTTGTTCTTAAGTTATAGCTGTATTGTTGGGAACACGTTTGTCCCAGAGCTATCTGGTTGTTATTGGAACATGCTTGTTCTAAAAGCTGTAGTCATATTGGGAACATGCTTGTTCTTAAGCTATCTAGTCGTATTGGAGATATGCTTGTTCTTAAGATACCTGGTCTTTATTGGGAACATGCTTGTTCTAAAGTTATAGCTGTATTGTTGGGAACATGCTTGTTCCATAGCAATCCGGTCGTTATTCGGAACATGCTTGTTCTAAAAGCTGTAGTTGAATTGGAACATGTTTTTCTTAAGTCTAGCTGGTGTTATTGAGAATACTGCTTAAGCTTTTAAGGTATTGGCAAGTTATTGGGAACATGCTTGTTCTTAAGTTATAGCTGTATTGTTGGTGTGGCATGGGGAACGAGTGCAAAAGAGAAATGTTTGTTTTAAATACAATGGGAATTGGACAAGATATCAGTCTCACTCCGACTACGCCACTATGGGAATTTCACCCAAAGAATTAGAATAAACCTCCTACAGAGGCATACACAGATTCGTATCACCAATTAGAGTCAGAGACATGAGTAACAATACAAAAATGAACTCTTTATTGGCAAATCTTGAATAAAAACAATGTTAAAATACTGAAACACTTCCACCCCAATGGACCACCAAGTTTTAAAACAAGTCGAGGGCCAGGGACCAGAGCTTACCAACAGAGGCGGATAATCAGACCACACCAACTGTAGGTGAATCACTGCACTTCACTGTGTACACACACACACACACACACACACACACACACACACACACACACACACACACTTGCCAAGACACAGAAAATACACATCAACTAAACAGTCACTTTGGGAGTCAAGTTGGTTTACGAGCTCAAAACCAGTCAAAACAAACAAAAACCAAATTTTGCAATTAATGAAATCACAAATAATAGAACTTTGGAAACAGGACAGCACTGCAGCCGTAAACAACTGCGGAGCGCCCCAACTGAAATGCAGTTACAGGCCGTCACCGAACCGATCGTCAAGGGGATTAATGTTTTATCAAGAGCCAACAAAACCGTAGCTTTTCCGGCAAAGACCAATGCAGAAAAACGGCAATCCAGCAACTATGTCAGGTTCTCACAGCTTCTCCAGCGTCTATACCCAGTTTGTATGAACGGTAATACACGACACGGCAGTAACACTCGTAGAGTCAAAACAGAAGCACGCTCCAAACAAATCGGCGTCTCCAGTACTCTCATCCGATTCCGGGAAGTGACGGAAGCACGTTAACGACGCAGCAGCCCACCAAGTGACGCATTTCAGTTAGCACATATGTTCCCGTTTTTATAGCCATGGGGCGCCAGTAATTTGCTAAGGCAGCGGACAACAATGACGCAAGAAAAATTGCCCCTCCTGCCACAATCTGCTTGTGAGAAACTATCAGTGGTAAATTCCTAAAAGCACAAGCATTTCCTGTCTAGAATGTGTTCACTCACCACATAGCCCAAATGTTTACATTTTTCAGTCAGAATTGTTAGCCATGCCTCTTTACACTTATTTTCATTCGGTTTGCATCGGCGCCCCGACGATGGACTAAAGATCAATTACAAAAACATCCCTCCAATTCCTTAACTCCAAGGCCTAAACAAAGCTGAAATGGTGTTGGACACAATCTCGGAATTACCAGTAGCTCCATTCCTTACCTCTCCTACAGCCCGGGGAAGACGATGTAAATTCGAATGCTGACCTGCCCCAGCTCGGCCCGACCGTCAAGGGGTAACCACCCTCTCATTATGGGAACCGGGAGGTACTTCACTTTCCCTCACCAGAAGTTCTACACCCCGTTCTTCTGGTTCCATCGAAACTGCACCCACAGGAGGAAGAACCGCTGGCAACAATACTTGAACCTCAGGCTGTACTGAGCGCCCAGCATCCCGAGATCACATTCCCTGAATAGCCCAAGGAGTCTCTGGCACCAATACCACCAAATCGACATCGTCTGCCTCTTCATACTCCTGGGGGTCCTCCTGATTCTCTACAACACCCGCAGACTGATCAACAGGCAATACCTCCTTCTGGACACAAGCCTTCAACAGAGAACGATGCACTCTCCGTACCTTACCCAGATCTGTAATCGGCGCAATGGTATACATCACACCTCCCTCTTCGGGGGAGTGGACCACCTGATAGATCACCGAACTCCACAAGTCCTGGATCTTGTGGCGACCCTGCACTACATGATCTCTTAAGTAGACTAACTGACCCTCAGATAAGGGTAGATCTCGAACATATTGGTCATGCTGCCTCTTCCGACGGGCTGCTGCCGCCTTCAGCCGCTCACGTGCCCCCTCAAAGGCAACCTGCAATCGCCTACGATGTTCCACGACCCAGCTGTGTATGCTTCCGGTGGCCGGTTCAGGCACCCTACCAAGCAAAAAGTCTATCGGCAACTGGGGTTCTTGACCGAACATTAAGTAATATGGGGACTCTCCAGTCACTTGATGAGGAGTGGTGTTATAACAAAATATCACCTGTGACAAACAAGACACCCAGTCCCTCTTCCTTGAGCCCGGCAAGGTTCGCAACAAGTTATGCAAAGTGCGATTAAATCGCTCACATTGCCCATTACCGGCCGGATGGTAGGGGGTGGTACGAGACTTCCTTACCTGATAAAGCTCACAAAGCTGCAGAATAAGAGCAGATTCAAAGTTATGGCCCTGGTCTGAATGAATACGGCCCGGGACCCCAAACTTATAAAACCACTCTTCAACCAAAACTTGGGCCATGGTCTCGGCTCTTTGGTCGTGCGTGGGCACTGCCATAGTAAATTTACTAAACACATCAGTCATCATTAATATGTTTTCCTGTCCAGAATATGAAGGTTCAAGTACCGTGAAGTCAATGGCGAGGACTTCATTAGGCTTCGACGCTAGTAAATCGCCCATAAAAGCACGTACTACTGGACGATTATCTTTGGCAAGCTGGCAGCGTTCACATTCCTGACACCAATGGGTAATATCGGCCAGCATTTTTGGCCAATAGCACCGCTGCCGAATCAACTCGCTGGTGCGCTCGACCCCTTGATGCCCATGTTGTTGGTGCAGCTGCATCAAAACCTCTTCCCTCAAAACATCGGGTAACACTAACTGATAACACTCTTCCCCTCCGTCAGGACGGAATATCTTCCGATGCAAAACTCCTTCCCTTGCTTTTAATCTGTCCCATTGCTGAAGGAGAGTCAAAACTGGTTTATTCAACTGCTTCCGCTCCTCCGACCCTGGACGCTGGCCCTGTTCCCAAAATTGTATTACCGGTCCAATAACGGGATCAGCCTCCTGCATAGAACGCATATTGGAGGCAGAATAACCCGGCAACGCACTCACCGCCCTCACATCTGCCTGAACACCACATCCTGTGCCAATGGCCTGCTGCAACGCATCCGGAATTGCGACACTAGCAGCTAACTCCTTAACTTCTCCCTGGAAGACTGGGTTCTGGCGAGAGAGAGCGTCTGCATTACCGTTACTCCTTCCTGACCTATATCTTACATCAAAATCAAATGCAGCCAACTCTGTGGCCCAACGTTGTTCGGTGGCTCCGAGCTTTGCCGTGGCTAAATGACTCAGGGGATTATTATCAGTGAACACAATACATTTGTGCCCCAGAAGGTACTCCCTGAACTTTTCAACCATGGCCCATTTGAGCGCAAGAAACTCTAGTTTCATCGAGCTGTAATTAGTCATATTACGCTCCGTGGGCCTTAGGCTACGACTGGCATACGCTATAGGTCGAATCTTCCCTTCAAATTCTTGGGAGAGGACTGCCCCCAGACCCCCATGGCTAGCGTCTACCTCAAGGATGAAGGTTTTGGAAAAATCTGCATAAGCCAGTACTGGGGCAGATGTTAACTTCCCTCTTAGGGCCTCAAAGGTTGTCTGACACTGCTCGGTCCACGCATGGGTCAAACTCTGCCCTCTTCCTTTGCCTGACTTACTTGACTTACCTCCCATCACTTCAGCAACCAGCCTATGCAGAGGTGCTGCCAATTTGGCAAACCCCTCCACAAAACGCCTATAATAACTTACAAAACCAAGGAATGCTCGTAACTCAGACACAGTCTCAGGGCAACGCCATTGTGCAAAAGCCTCGATTTTACCTGGATCAGTTGCTACCCCTTGCGCAGATATAACATGCCCCAAGTACTTCACTTCGGGTCTGAAGAAAACACATTTCCCCAGCTTTGCCTTGAGTCCTTCCTTCTCCAGACGACCCAAGACCATGTCCAATCTCTCCAAATGCTGAACTATGGAAGAGGAAAACACCACAACATCGTCAAGATATAGAAGGAGGGACTGACACCGCTGGTCACCGAATAATCGCTTCATTAACCTCTGAAACGTACCTGGAGCATTACAAAGGCCAAAAGGCATACGGTTCCATTCAAATAATCCGAACGGTGTACAGAACGCAGTCTTCGGCTTACCTTGCTCAGAAACAGGAACCTGCAAGTAGCCACTGGCCAAATCCAATGTAGAGAACCAGCGAGCCCCAGCTAGTGAGTCCAAAGACTCCTCAATACGAGGCAGGGGAAATGCATCCCTCCTAGTCTTGGCATTCAGGTGACGATAGTCTACGCACATTCGCAGACTACCATCCTTCTTTTTGACCAACACTATCGGGGATGCGTAAGGGCTACAACTCTCTCGAACTATTCCAGCCTCCAACAACTGATTGATATGAGTTTTTACCACCTCATATTCAGAAGGAGGAATCCGTCGATATCGTTGAGGGTAACACTAACTGATAACACTCTTCCCCTCCGTCAGGACGGAATATCTTCCGATGCAAAACTCCTTCCCTTGCTTTTAATCTGTCCCATTGCTGAAGGAGAGTCAAAACTGGTTTATTCAACTGCTTCCGCTCCTCCGACCCTGGACGCTGGCCCTGTTCCCAAAATTGTATTACCGGTCCAATAACGGGATCAGCCTCCTGCATAGAACGCATATTGGAGGCAGAATAACCCGGCAACGCACTCACCGCCCTCACATCTGCCTGAACACCACATCCTGTGCCAATGGCCTGCTGCAACGACTCCGGAATTGCGACACTAGCAGCTAACTCCTTAACTTCTCCCTGGAAGACTGGGTTCTGGCGAGAGAGAGCGTCTGCATTACCGTTACTCCTTCCTGACCTATATCTTACCTCAAAATCAAATGCAGCCAACTCTGCGGCCCAACGTTGTTCGGTGGCTCCGAGCTTTGCCGTGGCTAAATGACTCAGGGGATTATTATCAGTGAACACAATACATTTGTGCCCCAGAAGGTACTCCCTGAACTTTTCAACCATGGCCCATTTGAGCGCAAGAAACTCTAGTTTCATCGAGCTGTAATTAGTCATATTACGCTCCGTGGGCCTTAGGCTACGACTGGCATACGCTATAGGTCGAATCTTCCCTTCAAATTCTTGGGAGAGGACTGCCCCCAGACCCCCATGGCTAGCGTCTACCTCAAGGATGAAGGTTTTGGAAAAATCTGCATAAGCCAGTACTGGGGCAGATGTTAACTTCCCTCTTAGGGCCTCAAAGGTTGTCTGACACTGCTCGGTCCACGCATGGGTCAAACTCTGCCCTCTTCCTTTGCCTGACTTACTTGACTTACCTCCCATCACTTCAGCAACCAGCCTATGCAGAGGTGCTGCCAATTTGGCAAACCCCTCCACAAAACGCCTATAATAACTTACAAAACCAAGGAATGCTCGTAACTCAGACACAGTCTCAGGGCAACGCCATTGTGCAAAAGCCTCGATTTTACCTGGATCAGTTGCTACCCCTTGCGCAGATATAACATGCCCCAAGTACTTCACTTCGGGTCTGAAGAAAACACATTTCCCCAGCTTTGCCTTGAGTCCTTCCTTCTCCAGACGACCCAAGACCATGTCCAATCTCTCCAAATGCTGAACTATGGAAGAGGAAAACACCACAACATCGTCAAGATATAGAATCAGGGACTGACACCGCTGGTCACCGAATAATCGCTCCATTAACCTCTGAAACGTACCTGGAGCATTACAAAGGCCAAAAGGCATACGGTTCCATTCAAATAATCCGAACGGTGTACAGAACGCAGTCTTCGGCTTACCTTGCTCAGAAACAGGAACCTGCAAGTAGCCACTGGCCAAATCCAATGTAGAGAACCAGCGAGCCCCAGCTAGTGAGTCCAAAGACTCCTCAATACGAGGCAGGGGAAATGCATCCCTCCTAGTCTTGGCATTCAGGTGACGATAGTCTACGTACATTCGCAGACTACCATCCTTCTTTTTGACCAACACTATCGGGGATGCGTAAGGGCTACAACTCTCTCGAACTATTCCAGCCTCCAACAACTGATTGATATGAGTTTTTACCACCTCATATTCAGAAGGAGGAATCCGTCGATATCGTTGACGCACCGGGACATTATCCAATAAAGGTATGTCATGGGAAATTAGGCGAGTGCAACCTAGATCACTCTCATGGCCTGAAAAAACTGTCTGATATTTCTGCAGCAGGGCTCTAACCTGACCCTGCTCTGAACGGGACAAAACTGATAAATCAAGGGACTCAATCTGTTGGGACAAGGTAGAACCCCCCACCACACTATGGGACTGGACTGTGGCAACTACTGGCTTTTCTTCCCTGACCCCCGCGGGCAAACTGACTATATAGACCTCCCTCAAATTACCCACCACCGTTGTAGGTCGAAGCATTACTTCCACTGTGCCAACATTCACTACAGGCATGTAAACGGTCCCTCGATTTACCCTCACCAAAGCAGGTGATGCCAGAAGCCCAGCTGGGAGGCCTGACTCAGGGGGCTCAAACAAAACAGTACTGCCAAAATACTGGGCAGAACAGGTTGTGGCCACCAGCTTCATTGTGCCACCTGGGATGCGACAAACCCTACGTCCGCGCACCCGCACACACCCATGATCAGAGAGCTTCATAGCATTTACTTGACGACAACATTGCAATGCACTTGACACACCGGGTAATTGTGTGATCACAGGTAAGTCAAAGAAAGCGCTGCCATGCTGCCCAAAAAGCCCCTGATAACACCGGCCAAGGATGTTCATCCCCAGCACCCCAGGGACCTCCAAACTCACACCGTCAGGAGGATCCCGAACCACCAGGACACCACACCCAATGACCAACCTGCCACAAAGTTCCACATCTAACTCCAAATATCCAACATATGGAATGGTAAGCCCATTAGCAGCTCGAACTTGTAACCACTGACAGTTTTGAAGGCGATCCTGACCCCATGGTTCAAAATGTTGTCGAAAACAGCTTTCGGTAATTGTCGACACCATCGAACCTGTATCCACCAAACAGGGCACTGAAACACCCCCATAAGGGCAATCACATGTGGACAAGAGGAGATCAAATTAGGAACTGAGCTGTGTGTGCCTATCTTACTTGAGTCAATTCCTTCCCCACCCAGGCTGTGACTCCGTGACCTGGTGGGAACTAGTTTTCCGACAGTCGGGGGGGACGTAGCCATCCATTCTCAGCTGTAGAGGGACCAGCCACAGGCTGGGGAGGGTGTGGGAAACTTCGTTCCCCGTCACACTCACGAGCAAAATGGCCCGGTCGTTGACACCGTCTACATATAATCTGACCAGAACGAGGGGAATGACTACGTACATCTGAAGTTTGGAAATGGGCGAAAGTTTGCGTGAGCTGATTCAACTGCCGTTGTTGCTGTCGCAACATTTCTCTCATTTCACCCAACTCTGACTGCTGTGACGACCTAGCAATTTCGACCGGTGTCCCACCGCGTACCCCATATTGAATGCCATATGCTAGTGGGACTGACTGACTACGCCCTCTCGCCCCTCCAGGCATCCCTTTTTGTTCCCACCTAATTGCTTCGCCGCGAACCTCTAATAAGGTAGCAGTAGGCTGGCGACGAACCAACTGCTTCAACTCTCGCCTCAGGGCACTATCAGCGACGTGCTCGACAAATTGGTCCCGCAACAAAGTTTCTGCATTACGGATAGCATATGGCGCCCGGCTCTTAACCCTTTCCAACAGGCCCATGAGCGCAAGAGAAAATTCTAACAGAGTCTCACCCTCTTGTTGCTTTCTAGAAAAGAAGGCCTCTTGTAACGCTACGTAAGACTGAGAACAGCCGTAAAGATCACGCAATGCCCTAATAATTTTATCAGGGTCTCCGCGTTCTAGATCAGGACGATACCGGATCTCTTCTCGGGCCTCTCCCTCCAAATGGTCAAATAGGAAGAAAGCTTGATCTGCATTTGACATATAACGTACCTTCATGCATGCCTGTGCCTCCTCAACCCTTTCATCAATACTCAAACCCTACTTGCCATTAAACTTTGGGCACCGTCGATCTCGCGGCACAAAAACAAATCGTTCGGGTGCAACGGCACCAGATGGTTGAGGTGTAACAGGCGGAACAATGGAGGTACAAGGCAAGGCGGCATCAGGACCAGGCAACCCAACGGGTGCCTGCGCCTGCTGCAACCGTGCATTGTCAGCTCTCAACTGGGCTACCAAATCCCTCAATTCTTGTAACTCATCCTCCATCTCTGTAATTTACCCCCCTTTTTCCTTTTAAAGAAAAAAACACTTACCACAGGAGGGAGGAAGTCACCAAATGGAACAACTCAGGCACAATGCACTGCTGCCCTGTTTCCAAAACAAACACAAACCCAGAATACACAAAAAAAAACAATGTCTCTGACGCAAAATAATGGTGATCCTGCCGACTGCGCCACAATGTGGCATGGGGAACGAGTGCAAAAGAGGAATTTTTGTTTTAAGTACAATGGGAATTGGACAAGATATCAGTCTCACTCCGACTACGCCACTATGGGAATTTCACCCAAAGAATTAGAATAAACCTCCTACAGAGGCATACACAGATTCGTATCACCAATTAGAGTCAGAGACATGAGTAACAATACAAAAATGAACTCTTTATTGGCAAATCTTGAATAAAAACAATGTTAAAATACTGAAACACTTCCAGCCCAATGGACCACCAAGTTTTAAAACAAGTCGAGGGCCAGGGACCAGAGCTTACCAATAGAGGCGGATAATCAGACCACACCACCTGTAGGTGAATCACTGCACTTCACTGTGTACACACACACACACACACACAGAGAGACAAATACTAAGACAAGTCACAACACACGGTGAGGTGGTCACTGCACACTGTGAGGAAGATACCACCACCTAAAAGAAAGTCAGTCCTCTGCCCCTGGTGCTCAGGCCCTGCCAAGACACAGAAAATACACATCAACTAAACAGTCACTTTGGGAGCCAAGTTGGTTTATGAGCTCAATCAACCAGTCAAAACAAACAAAAACCAAATTTTGCAATTAATGAAATCACAAATAATATATATATATAGAAGTATATAAAAGAAATCAATAAAGAGAAACAAAAATACAAACTATATAAACTAATTATATAAATCACAAAACAAATCTTATGCAACTGGAGAGAGCAAGTAGAAACAAGCTAGAAAGAAAAATCACAAAAATATAATTAGAATTGAAAACAAAGTTCAAACTTCAGAAACCAAAATATAATACAACAAAAAAAGCAAACAAAACAATATGAACAGCCAAAGGAGGAAAATTAACAAAAAAAGTGAAATTTGGAAACAGGAAAGCACTGCAGCCGTAAACAACTGCGGAGCACCCCGACTGAAATGCAGTTACAGGCCGTCACCAAACCGATCGTCAAGGGGATTAATGTTTTATCAAGAGCCAACAAAGCCGTAGCTTTTCCGGCAAAGACCAATGCAGAAAAATGGCAATCCAGCAACTATGTCAGGTTCTCACAGCTTCTCCAGCGTCTATACCCAGTTTATATGAACGGTAATACACGACACGGCAGTAACACTCGTACAGTCAAAACAGAAGCATTCTCCAAACAAATCAGCGTCTCCAGTACTCTCATCCGATTCCGGGAAGTGACGGAAGCGCGTTAACGACGCAACAGCCCACCTTGGGAACATGCTTGTTCCAGAGCAATCAGGTCGTTATTCGGAACATGCTTGTTCTGAAAGCTGTAGTTGAATTGAAACATGTTTTTCTTAAGTCTAGCTGGTGTTATTGAGAATGCTGCTTAAGCTTTTAAGGTGTTAACAACATATTCATTGGTCAACTGTTAAAGGCTACAGAATTGTTGCTACAGGTTATGCGGGTTTTGGCAACATATTTGATTGGTCATTGGTTAAGGGCAACATGCTTGTTGCTTAAGGCTTTGAGATTTGCTATCAGTTTGTGTTCGGGGATATCAGCATATGGTTTTGTTTTGGGGGGTATTGCTGCTCTCCCTGCTCTCATCCATGCTAGGCTGCATGGATGCGCAGGGAGTTCTTGCCCAGAACGGAACCATACCGCCAATCCAAACTGTATGCTAATTGT